ATTATTAATGCTTTTTTCTCACTTCCACTGACTGTCATGTGCAGTGCGTGCGCCTTTGAGATATGCTAGCCTTGCGAGTTTGTTTACAGGATCAAAGGAAGCAAAGTTTCCTTTCTTTACCTCCTGGCTTATATCGAAATCCTCCGACATTTTACTTTACAAATCATCGTTATGTGCTTCTAATTCGTGACTAATCACCGGCGCATGCGCTACGCTGATGTCCTACGTCATCCGCCGGAACGGCTTCTGTGTGTACGACAGTTAGCGGAAGTGAGAGAAAAGTATTTATAACTTTCTAAATATGGTTATTTTTCTTACAAATACGCATCGATTCGCTACAGGAGGCCTTTATTCACCCCCCGGTGCCGTGTGAGGCACGTTTTATTAGGGATGCGCACACTTTATTTGACTACTTTTGGACTGTTGAATAAAAACACCCGCTGTTAGCGTTTGGACCAATCAGACACACAACTATTTGTTATATTTAACAAATAATCCCAAATACACCCTTACTCCACCAACAAGGCAACTATTGGCACTTTTCCACTGCATGGTACGGCATGGTACGGCTCCGCACGGGTCTCAAGCCGCTTATACTGGTCGATGCGGTGAATCGTGTATTCAAAACATGACCAGAATCTGAAGCGAAATCTGTATGGTCAACATTCTTTAAATCCATTTGAAAGCTGTCCTGAGTGATTGTTTGCGATGAACTAGAAGACTTTTAAGCGAGTATCTGTGCAACAGATTAGTGTTTTGAAGCTGTCTTGAGACGAACTAGAAGCGAGTGTCTGTGCAACAGAACTGAGAACTGACTCAACGTTTGTCTGTGCGACAGACTAAAACTGTTTTAGCGCATGTCTGTGCAACAGAACTCAAGGCTGACTAATCGCATGTCTGTGCGACAGACTATGGCAAGTGTGAGTACGGATGAATTTATATATCTTATTAATTGTAGTGGGAGAAGTTATGATCAGCTGAGCATCAGCTGATGCTTCAGGCACACCGTGGTCTGCTTGAAATACGCTTGTGCTCCATTCGTCGCTCAAACTAGATTTATATTTATTTCATCAACAAATGTTGACAAAAGAGATGACTTTTCAGCTGTAGCTTTTGGACCAATCAGACACACAACTATTTGTTATATTTAACAAATAATCCCTAACACGCCCTCACTCCACCAACAAGGCAACTATGAGGGCCTGTGGACCCTTCCCCCGAAATGCAACTAACACCTCAAAAAGGCAGAACAGGCCTCTGGTTCCATGGCAACCAAAGACAAATCTTCTGATAACACTAGTTGTATTGCTCAAAGGAATGCGGGCAGAGCAACTCTCACTCCATTTCCCCTTAGGAAAAACACATAATGCCCATAAAAATGGACTCTTCTCTAATTAATTCATAGAAAAACCTTTCTGTGAATGAACACACATATCCTCAGGTCATTGTGTATACCATTACTGTTCTTGAATATTGTCTTATATATTGTATACTGTTTGATGCATGCTTATGATAGAACCACTCGTTCACGTAACCTTACTTATACCATGTTTGGTCTCTATAAATTCGTCTTCGGATGATCTAATTGAGAGTTTATATTATATGTTGATACTTATGC